GAAACAGATAATGGAGGGAGGAAGAATTCCGATTGGAGCGATAAAACCCGGGGGGTGGCTCGAGATATGGAACGGTAATAGTACCGCCGGCAGTGCCGATTTTCTGGCGGTGTTTGGCTCTTTCGGCGAGATGGTGAAACGGATCAATTGTCGGTGGGTGGGGAAGGGTTCGCGAGAATGGCAGTTTTGTAGGAATATTTTGGAATCGGGATAAGAGTGTTTCTAGCTTAAACTAAAAATAGAATCTGAACCCCAGCTGAAACTCACAATGAAGTCTAAATTCTATACGAAACTCAAAATAAAATCTAAACTCTATTCCAAACTCAAAATGGAATTTAAACCCTGTTCTAAACTCAAAATAGAATTTGAACCCTACTCGAAGTAGAATCTAAACCCTAGCCCAGAACCACTTAATGATATCTAAACCTTAGTTCAATACTGAAAGTAGAATCTGAACCCTAGCACAAAACTCAAACTAGAATATGAACCTTAGCTCAGATCCAAAGTGGAATCTAAACTGTAGGTCCCACCCGAAATCTAAGCCCGACTGCTAATCCTAATCCTTAGTTCGAAATTAATTCAGAATTACGACAATATATCGAACCTTCAAAGACCGGGATCTCCGAAAATTCTCTTCACATTCGTCATCAAAGTTGCAAAACTAGCGACCGAGAAATCGGTGACCGTACGAACGAAGAAGAAACAAAACGTCTTTGTACCAACGAGCAAGCGTACATTCCGACACTCGACCTTTTTATACGACTCGGGGCGACCGGAAGCGCTAATCAACCGGTTGTCTCTTAGCTTCTGGCCCACGTAGAGGTCTCGGCTCGTCGACAACGGTCTGTCCTCCGGCTACAACCGGTCAGCGGGGCGAGATCCACCGGTGATATTAAATTTGTATTTTTACGCTGATTCCACGGCCCATTCCCGTACGTGAGGCGAAAGGGAATCGTTCGGGCGATTAACGATCCGACCTCCCCAAGGGGAGAGAGCCTGTGGGGCTTTCTCTGAGGTAGCCGACACCCCACCGACGGCGACTTCGGAACGTGTTGCGATCCTAAAACTCGCCCTCCGCACCTCTCTTGCCTCGCGCACTCTTTCTCCCCCCACACACGTAAACCGCTAATATTTTATTTAATGCCTATCAAAATTTATGGATTTCTCACGGCCACGATCGCGCGCTTGCCCAGCGAGTGTCCGGTTTTCGAGTTTAATGTCCCGATAGAAAGCACCTTTTTGGATCGCGCGTTTTCGGTGGACGGAACAACTCGCTAGTGGGGGGTTGATTAAACATGTAGTCGGTGTCTTGTGATAGAGTGGGAAGTGTCTCGGAACGGTTTGTCTCGTTTTGTTGTTTAATACTAGATCTACCAGCGTTGAATGTATAATAAATTAAATTTCATAATATATTAATATTTATAATATGTGAGATAGTATAGCATAATACATTGTAATGTAGAATGTACAATGAATTAAATGTCGATATGAATATCGATGAAAGTACTTTTACGATTTCAGTAATTGTAAATTAAAGTTAAGTGTTTAAGCGGTGGATGGTTTCGGTGAAGGTGGAGATTGCATACTATAATTGTCTAAATAAACAAGTAAAAGTGATATTCCTTGCTTCCTTAAATAATCACATATTAAAGATTATCAATTGTTTATTAAAAAATTATTAGAATTTCTCGAATTGTCAGGAACCACTGTTCAACTTCTTCGAATACAAAAAGTTATTTCTAGTTTTCAGATTCGCTTCAGATGGAGATACCCCCCTAGATGTTCACTTTAGGGCTTCACGCCAACCACCCCAGCAACAGTTTTATCACGCGCTTTCTTAATTCTCTCTGCTTGCCCTTTAGGCCATCGCATTAGTTTCATTCCCGTCGCCAAGTCCTAATTATACGTCCGGATCGAATTAGACGGTTCTAATTATAAGATCAGATAGAAATAATTCGTAAGCCGGACAGATAGTAGTCTTTTTGACTTTTTAGCTCCGTGTACGACCGAATCGTCCCATGTCCATTTGTTTCCCTTTGTAATATTCTTATTTCACCAGAATAATTACAGATAACGTTGCACATTTCAAATTATTAAGTGTTTATTCTAGTTTGTGCGCCAAAAAATTAAGCGTTTCTTGGGAATTGATTGCAAACAAAAAAATCTAGTAATAGTGCAAAACTTTTTTCCATTTATTACACTACTTTTCTACAGTAAGTGAAAAATATAAAAGTAATAAAAATACTCTTTTTTAAGAGCGCCTTGGTAACATATTTAAAAAGTGCATGGAACAAAAACTAAAATCACAATACCACCTTGAATACAACGGTCATTATTTTTTCATATGTATTAGACACACAAAATCCACAGTCCAGCCATTACTCCAAAATCACCTTTATTCGAACCTCAAAATTAACCATTCCACCCCCACCGAAACATCAAAATCTTTCCGTCCATGAATCATTTTACAGGTTCAAATCGGTGCGTCCTGTAAATTCCAAGGTTACGCCGCACAGTATCGCGCCAGGGCGACGTGTCAGAGGGCGCCCCGGACCGGAAATAAGGAATTCTCGCAGTTTTCTTCTACGTGATTGGCCCTTCGGGCAACGTGGATTCTGAACTCGACTCACTTCGTACCTACTATCCGTTGTACAAGAGTATACCGACTTATATATATATATAGGTTAGGTTGAAGGTTGCCACTTGGTATGCGGATCGCGCTTTTCATTACCGGAGGCTCTCCTTCCTCTCCGTCTCCGGCGCTGCAACAGCCTAAACCAACCCTCTCTTTCCTCCCGCCCCAACACCACCTCGCCTACAACCCTCCCCCGGTTCGCCCACTACCCTCTTCGTCCTCGTCTTCTCGATTCTCCGCGCCCTGTTCCACGCTACTTTTTTACTATTACCACTGCTGTCTGATATCAGCGTTTCGTGTCGCGGCCTCGCGTCCCTTTTTCCTCCCTTCTTCCCACACCGCCTTTTTTTTTTGTCCTTTTCTCGTTCCTTTTTTTTTCTCTTCGCTTTCGTTCAAATGAACAGGTTCGTGTCAGGCCCCGAAACGTGACGGTGGACTCCGAGACGATGGATAGAAGATTGGGAACTGAATGACGGTCTGCTGTAGTGTATGAAATCTTGGGGTACTGTTTGTGACGCTAGGGCTGGATTAGTGTGTCGTCGAGGGGTGGTAAACCGAGTAGTTTGTTTCTTATGGCGAACTGTGATCGTTTGGAGTATATGGTGGTATGAAAAATATGAGCTTGGTGATGAAAACGCCTGTGAGCACTGTGTTTGATCGCTAGATTAAGGGTATGTATGGAAATATAGATTTTCGTAGCCCATTTTTGAGAAACTGGAGTCAAATAGAAATTTTGTTCTCTCTGTTATGGGTTTGATCCAGTTACGAAGGAAATATGAATTTTATGAATTGGTGAAATTTTTTATTATACTGATTTTTTAGCAGTCTATTAATCACTAATTTACTGTGATTATGCGTGTATTTGTCTATATTCCTACCTTCTATTCATTCCTTTTTCCGTATTCTTTAGTTACAAATCATTAAAAGAAGGTCAAAAATCAGATACATATTTATAATCTGTCTTTACAATCTGTCTTACGTCCAAAAGAGAACATATGATTTATTTTCCCCCGAATACAGGTCATTTGTTGACCCATCGGGTCTTGAGTTAAAAGGATTTATTGCAGCATGAATTGTAGCTTGTATCTTTCGCAGAATTTATCGCTGTTCCTCCAAAAATGAAAGATATATTTCAACCCTAATATTTTTTTCGGAGAATAAGTCTGTTTTTATATAAAACACGTTTCTTAACGTGTGAATGTACCTTTAGTAACAAATGAGCAGCCTGTTGGTGTTTTATGCAGACGCATATTATCATGAATAAATTTAAAAAAATAAAATAAAAATCGAACATAAGTTAATTCCGTTTTATTAAATTCGAAACGAACTATAGACTCCACTAATCTTTGTTACCATCTTTTCTGTTTTAATGTTCATAAATGGGGGAAAATGTTGATAGATGACAAGTGTATCCACATGTAATATTTTATTTATTTACTGGTGTACACTAATAGAATCCAAAGCGTTTGCTAACGACTGTCAATCTGACGCTATGTTAAATAAATAATTTATACAATCGAATTTAAACTTATAGACCCGGTAAGCTTATTGGAAAGTTTATAAATTTATCGAAGAAATGCTCCACACGACGTCACGCGTACGCCCCTTGTACCATACGCTTCCTTTCTTTCACTCGCCCCAAATCGCCCCTCCTCCTCCATATAATGCTCTTACATGCCTTCCGGTAGCCCGCCGGCTCTAACCAACACTGGATTACGCAATATTCGATATCGTATCCTCCCGGGGTGTATTTATGCCTATCAGTATCCCATGATCTAATCAACGTGGCGGCTTAAAGTACATCCTTTCATGATTTTCTCTGTAATCGATCGCTGGAAAATCTTGAACGCCACCGCGATTTAAGGTGAATGAGGAGATCAACTGATCCTTCTACTACTTATAGTAGATTTTAACCAAGACGTTCTTTTAAAAATAATTACAATAACGTTCCTAAAGTAGGGCTTTATCCGCGAAATTTAAATAAATTAAAAAAATATTTTACTTTTATGTTTTGGTGAATTCTAATTTTCTAAATTATAATGCACGACAATATAATTAACATTACATATAAGAATATTGAATATTGACCATACGCGGGAAACCTGAATACGCACACATATATATGCGTGCAAAAATAATAGGATGTACTGTACTATTTACCCCAGATGTCATGGACCCATTTTTTTTTTTTTCTTTCACCCTGCGTCATTTTTACGGAACATCACATTTTCGTCGTACAGACCAGGTGTCCTAATACTCACGCGCTGTAGTGTATCTGGCTCTGTTCAGCGTACCCTCGAAAGAATCTAAAATAGAGAACGAAAGCATTCCCGTCTAACCAATTGTGTTTCTGTTCTTGTTGCAGAACGGGACAGTGCTGAAAGACACGACCACAGAGGAGGTGGGCAACGTGACCGGAACGAAATTCGGCGACGCGTCGCCGACCAATCTGACGCAGGAAGGTGGCTCGCTCTCGGACAGCGGGATCTCCGACAGCGGTAGCGAGCAAGAGCTGAGCGAACGTGAACGACGGCTGGCTGCTCTACGCCGTTTGACCCGTAGCCTGGAGAGCCAATTGGCGCCGGGCAGCGAGGCGCTCACTGAACTCTGGAAGAGAGTCGAGGACGCGGAGACGGAGCTACGTGACCTTCAAAAGCACTGCCGCGAGCTGATCGTACGCACTGCGGCCAGCGTGGAGGCGCGCGCGGCAAAACGGACCAGCAGCCAGGTTCACCACTTTGCGGAGTGAGTACCATTATTTTTTTTTTTTTTTTTGTTCGTTGAGCCTATTAGTTTTGATTAGGGGTGGATTGGAACCAGAGTAGGACAGGATTTTATTGGAGTAGGATGTAATGAAAAGCAACGGTATCTAAGATCGTCATTTTGACCTTTAACACTAAAACTACCGACGATAAACGCATATTTGCTTGGATCGATGGATAAACGTGATGTTATTAACTAAATATTTCCTGCCCTAAACGTGTATTTAATTGGACCAAGTTATGTCGAATGTTATCAACCCTTAATGATCTGAAGTGAAGAAAATTTAGTTTGAAGATATTAATTTAAAAAAGAAGTTGCTTTATTTCTATTGGGTATATTTTTTTTCTCGTTATTTCACAATGTTTTTTAATGGCTTATTTAATAGTGAGTAGTATAATTAATATTATTTCAAATTTTCTATAGTTATTTTTAATTTTCTATGACTTGGCAGTTTTAATAATTGTATAATGTAAGAGTTGTTACATGGGTTGGTAATTTGTTGCAAAATAAAGATCACAAAATTATAAGATTCGTACTGTGTTTAACTGATTTTTTGTCATTTTGAGGGTTGGTAGATTTTTTCATAACTTGGCCCAATTGTCCTTTGTATTTGTCGCGGAAATACTTCTGATTCCATTTCTTTAGTGTTCCCAATAAAGACGTTGAGCAGTGTTAATGAACGCGGAGTAATTCCCGGGGTAAACGCACGGGCGCGTAGTTTTTAATTTATTCAGACGTCTCTGGATGCCACGACATTCGAGGGAATAAAGAACGACCTTCTTGGCTCGCATTCCATTTGCATAACGTCGAAATGAGAAGCAAAGAATGAAGGCGTCTATTTAGACGTGGGGACAAGAGGCTCGTTCGTTCATAGTTCTACTCCCATAACGCCGCTCGCTCGTTTCAATATATGTAAGAAGCTAAGCGCGAATGAACGCTCCTAGACGCTGTGTCGGGTCTGTCTCAAGACACTACCTTAACCCCTTACAACACGATTTCTTTTACGACTTCACTCTTAAGTAATTACTTTATCGTTCATATTTTCCCAGACACAAAAGGAATTCTATTCTTATTGCAAATGTTACATTTATTCGAAACCTTAAATGTTAATACCAGCGGAACAGTATTTCACGTCGACTCAAAGAAAACGAATAATATACATGTTTACTAAATTCAGTTTCAAATCGTTATTACCTGTCTGACTCGATGTTGCAAGGCAAGGGGTTAGAGACTGAAAACGTATGAAAGCTTTTTTAATGATTGTACAAAAGTAACACTGGAACAACCAAATGCGTCAGAATAATAGGTTTTACATTTCTTATTTTAAGGTGGTTTGTGCCATATTCGAAAAATTAGATAATAAAATTAGTAAATACAATTAAATACAATTTAATTTAACATATATTCAATGCTTGTAGTTCTACTGTTCAGTCACCACACCAACACAATTGTTGGTTTATTTTCTTCTTTCACACATTTTCTTTGACACTCTCTTTATACAGGGTGTCTCAGGTCGGGTACTACAACCAGACAGGATGTGATTCTGTAAGAAAAAATACGTCGAAAAATAGGAATAAAGTTTTTTCATACGAGGCTTCTCTGGTTTTTTCTGTCTATGCGTACAATTGAATAGGACTTTGCTACCGCGTCTGTTCATTGCGTTCCATTTCTACTTACTACCATGACGAATTTCATTCTACTTACTACCATAACGAACTTCATTCTACTTACTACCATCACATTTCAGATTAATTTTTAAAGTCGATTTTGTCATTTAAATTTTATTCTATATTTTCGTGTAATGTTTTCACGTATAGAATCGTCCCCAGTCATTTGTACCACCAGCTACACGACACTCTGTATAATAAATACGTCATCTTCCCTTGTGCAAAACATGTTTTTTTATTTGTCAAATTATAATTGTGGAGGTAGATTTAATACGACTTCTTTTTCTTTGTTCAGGGTTGATTGTTAGAGGAAGGAGAGAATTGTGATTAGAAACAGGGACACAAGGTCTTAAAAGCTGTATTCCCTATTCTACTTTCTTTCCCTCCGCCGCTTGGCGGATTCATTTCGTGACCCGCTCTTTCAATCGCAATTACTCCGAATTCCCCATTATCACCGGGCCACCTTATTTAACTTTGTTTGAAGGATGTTTTTTTTATAGTCGCATTTAATCACCGCTCGGCGACGACGGTAATAGGTTTAGTTTTCGCGAGCATAGAACGCTCGCCATATTGCATCATAAAAGAGGCTGTAAAAACTTGTCCCTCCTCCTTTTTCGCATCGATTCAACCATGTTTTTCGCCTACTTTTCTGCCTTACTCCCACGTATCTACATTTTCATCATTCTTTTTTACGCAAACTAAAAATTAATAAAAAAACAACCATTCGAACATTGTACTGGGTAGTAAAATGAATAGTGTTATCGTACGATTTTTCTGAAGAATTAAATCTTGAATGTCTTTGAATCGAAATTAGACTCGCGCAATCCTTATTCTGAAATTTATGTTCTAAAAATACATAGAAATTTATTTTACATTCAATATTATGTTTAGCAATGAGACATTTTCTAGCACAGAAGTCATTCAAGAAATCTCTTAAGTTTTAAAGATTTTTACGTTTCATAGAATTGCCCTGTTTGGAAATCAGATATAGATTCACAAATATGGATAAGTTTGTTGGAAACATTAGAAACATTTTGTAATAAAGATCAGTAGACGTTAGAACTTCCAGAACACGGAGATTCACCTTAGACTTGATTTTCAGGAGAACTTACCTTTTACTCATTTCCCGGCCCGTCCTTCGCCCACGGGACGCTATAAATTAATTTGCTCGACTACCGGTACAACTTCGAGTTTTAGAGGAACCACAAGTTTCCAGTCTACACTGTTTTAGTATTAATTTAATATTTCGAGCACGGGAACCATTCTAATAATTATGTATCTCGCTAAATCGGTATTCCTTGTTTACCTTCGCTCTTATTTCCCTCTGCTTCAAGTGAAATGGGTAGATCTGTTGTATACATACAGGGTGTTCCATGTTTTAATATTTCAGGGGGTAGTAGATGAGCTCAAACGAAATAAAAAATTTTCTATGATATCGTGTTCAATTCGACTTCATTTAATACTAATGACGCCTTAAAGTTACAATACACATATAGATTGTTAGCGCAGACATTTCACCTATTCGAGAGAACGGTTTTGAGGTCACCCTAATTGTAAATTATAATAACTGTAAAAAGTAGTCCGAAGAACTATTGTCTTCTGAATCATTACTTATATTACACATGCACATATTACTTCAAGAAATAAATCTTTTTAACCGGCTTACTGCATCTCTTTGGTATTTTGTAGAATCTCTATTATAAGTATTTGTCATAATCTCAAGAACTAATAGCCATTTCGAAACTATTTCAAATATTTTTAAAAATATTTTTTTCATAAAGTGTTTACTCACGATTAATAATGAAATACTAGTCACAGTAACACCGTTTTTTTCTAATGTTTGGGTGCCATTTGATTTAAATTTTTCGTATTTCGTCAAGAAATGTACCAAATATCGTCGCTAAAGTGATAAAGTAGGCGTCCACATTGAGCTTGGAATTCTGAAGCAAATGATATTTGTTTCAGAGGTATATGATCATTAGTTTATGAAATATTCAATGTTCAGTGCCGAGGAGCCTTCGAACATTCATCAAAGATTTCCTGTACTCCGAGGCGGACCGAGTTTGTCGCACTCATCGAGACATTACTGTATATCCACTTTTTCAAAGCTTTAACCAGTAAAGAATGTAATTTCCCTAGATGTCACCAATACACCCAAAGTCCCCTCAATGAACCAGTTCTGTAATAAACAAGATCCTCGTCTGTTCTTTGTGCAGCAAACGCAAGAAGGCCAGTTCGATGGAGATGGCGAAAGGTGGCCCGGAGCGGATCGTTTCGATCGCGGCGAAAAGCGGGGCAACCGACGCCGGTGATCCGGACAGCGAGCCAGGCCTGCCGCAGAATTGGGTCTGGCGGATCCTGAGGGCGGCGTTGCCCTTCCAGCTGGCCCTGGTCGCCCTGTTCTGCGCCGCCTGCCTTCTCGAGCCCCATTGCTGCGAGGCGGCGAACACGCTGAACCTGTCTCTCACGCCTCAGCTGCGGTACGTCCGTGGCCCGCCACCGGTCTGAAGATCAGACGTGCCTGGCTATTGGGTAAACCTTGACGGCGCCGCCGAAATATCGAGAGAAGAACCCGTTCAGACGAACCGATCGATTTCCCTCAGTCACCGGAAGTGTCCTGGATCGGGAGACCCGGCTCCGTCTAGCAAGATCGCGAGCCAATGGTTGTTTGCACTCATGTTGGTGGACATGTTGTTGCACCCTTTAGACACAGGGACCGCACGATTGCTTTTCGTTTTTTCTTTGGACATTCAACGAGTCAATCTTGTACACTGCCAATGTGCCTCGTAGTCGCTGATTGGATTTGGTCGGGGTTGACAGAGAAAAGGGGGAGTTTCGGGAGCTTTCTTTGGTGGTTGTGCTCAAGACTTGGTGTTTTGAATCTTGTTCTCTGGGTTTCTTGGGTTGGTAACTTACGGACTGCTGGGGTTTAGGGGCATTGTCAGTGTTTGGTGATTGTTTTACTGGAGCTGGTATTGGATTTAAGATTGGTTACATTGTTAATGGGTTTGTTAGGTGAAAGTGAAGTTTATGTGGAAAGTTTATTGAAGATTGTGCTTAACACTAGAAAATGAACGTGTTTCTGTTTCAGTCATGTTGATGAAAAGGATAGCTTGTTGAACATATAAATTGGTAAATTAATGAACTTCTTCATTGATATATTGCAATAGAAATTAGGAAGAATCTCAGGAAATATATTGCTATGGCATTTTATTGATTTTTATGAATGTACGAACCAGTCACTTTGACTGCTTTCGTAGTCGCAGTGTTAAGTGCGAAATAGTAGTGAAGCATGATGGCAGTACAGTTGAGGTACAAATATTTCGCTCGTCATGGTCACTTCTGTTATTCCGAAGTATATTAAATAGCGAAGTTGGTTTAATTATGTTATAAATTTCGGTATAATTGATTTGCTCATCGTTAACATTTTTTACACTTTAAATCACAATACCTATTACTATACTACTACATAAAGTTCCTATCAATTGGTATTTGAGAAAAAGGAAGAATCTCATTCATTCTTAAAAATAGTCGATACAAATACAAATCAGCCAAAAAATCTATACCGAAATTTTTTATAAAAATTTCCTTGCAAAATTATTACAAACTTTGTAGCCATCTAATACATAAAGTATTATTTTATTTCTTTTGAGGAGGAACTTATAAAGAAATATAAAATTAACCTTGTTATGTTTCGTTTTTTTATTTATTATGTATAACTGATATAGAGCATTGTATCATGTGATAGGGATAGCTACTAAATAGTGATCTTGAGTAGCCAATTTTTTCTACCTCAAATGTACCCGTAAGCAGATAAATCAAACAGAATTCTTCTTTCTTTATGAATATCTTTGCAAACGTAAACGTTATTTAATTTTTAACTACATCATATTTTTCACTGTATTTTATAAATTACTTACATACTTCTACTTTCTCATAATTTGCAATATAATTTCATTTTCCTGTACCTTAGTTGCCAATTGACAAAAAACTATTTAAATTAATAGAAACACATGCACAGTGGTCCGTAAGATATCAACCCAATAATGTAACGCACTATACCACCAATTCAAACTACGAACATACAATTATCACACCTTTACAAATATTTTTTACGGAACATCTAGCCTGTCAGCAATTTTCTACACTTTTTCTTCATTCTGCAAAGCACAAAAACAACCTCACAATTACATTTTTCCAATTCCGTAGGCTTCGATTCTTTATACACTGATATACACGTTGTAACTCTTTGCCAAACACGCGACAAATAGTGTCACGAGTTTGAAGCATCCTTGGCACAATCGATCTCACACAATCTCGTCGCAATTTTCACTCACTGCCGAATTTTCGACGGAACGAAAATTTTTCGCTCAAAAACTCGCGACGAGAAGTTCCTTTTTCCGTTTCCGCTGAAACATCCAATTGGTCCCTTTTCTCCGACCAAAAATCCACCGACGAACCCACTTTTAGAAAATCACGCGTTCGCTTGGAATCGCGACGGAAAAATCAAAAAATCCTGAAAAGAAGAAAAAAATATTGAAACCAGTGACTGAGGCGCGACAGATGGGTCGCGAAGCAACGAGCATCACGTCAAAAACGAAACGTTCACCAGAGAACGCTTTTTTTTTTTTATACGTTTATACGAGTGAACATCGACGAACATAAATCGTCGAATCGACGATGGGTAAGTATAGTCTGTGTTCAGACACCAAACTATACCCATATTTCGAATTGAACGAAGACGGTGGCCACGCCGAACGGATTCGATTTCCGAGCGTAATATCGAAACCTCCACGATAACTTGCAAGCTCGTTCAATAACGAGGCGCAAGAATCTTAAGAGATAAGGTTGACGAAGTATTTATAAAAGAAATAACTTTATCTTTTCCTAGAGTATTCGCGACATGGTCGACGACAGCGAATGTATATACAGGGTGTCCCAAAATAGGTGCGATTCCCGGATATGAGGGATTACGGGGATAATTTGAAACAACTTTTTCCTTAACAAAAAATGTCATCCGAGGCTTTGTTCACGAGATATTAACGAAGAACCCCGACCAATAATTATATCTCGTTAATATCTCGTCAACAAAGCCTTCGATAACAGTTTTCCTAAGGAAAAAGTTGTTTCAAATCATCCCAGAAATCCTTCATTTCCGAGAATCGAAGCTATTTTGGGTCACTCTATATATTCATTCACGATTTAACGAGGTTTCGATGCTCGGAGCAGTGGCACTTTTTTTTAAATAGTATAAATATTTATTTATATATATATGTTGGAAATTATATATGTATACATTATGTACGTATTATTGTTCGTAATTTAACGTCAAGGCGATTGATTCTCTCTCGAGAGAAAAGAGAACAATCGTGTAATAGGCGGGAAACGTGTGTTCCCGCGTGGACATTTCCGCTTCGAGAACCGCGTCCTCCACGCGATGTTAAAACGACAGTAATATCGATCGTTTTCTTGTTTTCCCCGTGATTTTTTTGTTTATCTGTTCCCTTGCGATGATTGCAGTCCGCGAAAGCTGGACGACGTTCTCGAGCGTTGTCGATGCACGGCGGATCTTCGTTTCGATTGGATTCGATGATTCTACGTTTGAAAACGATTAATTTCTGATCGAAAAGACTCCGTAAAATCGATATTCTGATTTCAGATCGATCGTTTAGAGTTTTATTGAATCGAAATCATCCAATGAACGGAGTTCTTTCGAGCAAGCTTTCCGTTTGGTTCCCTTACGTTTCGATCTTGATCGTCGATAGATCAAAGGGAAACCTGTATCAGGTATAAACACTAATTTCTGATATTTCGATGGAATTGACATTGTGGAGTCTCGATTGATTCGATTAAAATGTCAGAAGAAAGAGTGTTTTGAACGATTTATGTGGATCTACTGCAGATGAAGTGATCCACGTCAGATACCATGTCGTTTCGATCAGCTACGAGACGCAGATTTTTTTTTTTTTCAAAGTTCCTCGCGTGTTTCACAGCTTCAACAGCGCGTTTTACTAACACACCCACGAAGAGTGACGTGTGAGTGTTGCATAATATTTATTCTTCATGGTGTGTACGAGCTTACTGTACCATGAATGTTCAGTTTATCCATCGTGTTAACTAACATGGATCAAAAGATTGAAAGTTCAATAAAAAAAAAGGAGTATTCAATTAAATAAGCATGATTTCTGGAGGAGCTCACGTTCAGTGAGTAAAGTTAATTGCTCATTATTTGCGAGTAGGAGAGAAGAAGATATTCTTCTTCTGAGAGAAAGATTGAAACGTGTAAAAATATGTATATTGCAAGGATTCTTCTTTGAGACGAAGGATCTTCGAGTGATTTCTGATAAACGTTCGGAGTTAAATGATACGTAAGAGACCTCGAGAAATGTTTTTTGTCGTGAACGTTCTCTGTTCGTGCCATTCGAGCAACTGTTACGTTCCGAGAATTTCATCGCAAATCATTACGAAGCAACGAAACGTTGAAGAGAGGCCGGTTTTATACATATTCTCATTGCTTCTAGTTAGTGCATGGCGGATTTTTACTTGCACGATCGTCTTATAGATCGTTCATTTTGCTAGAAGTAACATCGAGTGTAATCGTACAGCAATGAGTTTGTTGGAGTGTGGATAATCACGTTTTATTTCTTTTGAATCGACGAACTGTCGATTGATAACGTTTGGGCATGGATTTGTAGATATTCGAAAATTCTAGGTCGTGTAGCGGTAAAGTTTTTGTTAGAATTTATGATTTTCATAGAACATGTAATTTTGAAGACTTTATTCTGATAGATCATTGGTCCAAAGTAATGTAGGGTTTGAGATGCGTGAGGTTTGTGCGTTTAGTTTTCGATCGAGCGAGTCTGGTGCGAGATAAGATTGAATGAAAGGAACTGGAGTGTGACCGTGTATGAAAGGAGTTATAAGAGGGAAGTCAGTGAGAGCGTGTGTGTCATAAGAGCTAGAAGCGAGTGTTAGAAGCGTATCCTAGCGATTTTCTTTATATTACACATTTTAGAATAAACCTTTTATTTCTACTAAATACAACCACCACTTTAATAGTATTCCTACAGTAAGTATCGGGATTTGTCTGTATTTTAGGAAAAAAAGAATATAACTCTCAGCAGAATTTTCTGCAAAACACAGTAACTCAAGAACTTGTTCACATAAAACTGTCATAATAAGTTGAACGAATTACACACACACACACACACAGCCAAATTTTTAATCATGTGAGGTATGTGAGGTTGATGGGAAATAATTCATGTTAATTTTACAAAGGTTAGTGTTTATCATGCTATAAAAATTACTGAAAAATTCTAATTTCTACTCGAAATTTTAAATTTGATTTATTTAATTTCAGTTATTAAGTCTAATATTGTCAAAATATTTTTCTTTTAAATTTACTTCATTCTAAATTCTGTATTTTTATTTTATTCTATATTCTATATTTCTATAAAAAATTGTAGTTTGTTCTTGATGGTCATTTATTTTCTACTTGTTCAAACGAC